CTGGCGTGTATATGCGTCTCCTGACGCTTGGAATCCTTGTGGTGCCCGAAGATAACGGGTATCTACCCCATTCCGTGATGAAGGTAGTTGCATCTCTTGCCGATGGAGAGAGGGTTAGGCTATGATAGCCATTCCATGCATCCAAAACGGTTTTTCTAGTTTTCGCAGGCACCAGCGATGCCTGATTGAAAGGAGACGGTGTATGATGGGTTTCTCGTAGGGTAGCGGTGTTGAGCTTCTGTAGGTCCACCGTGCGCCTCGGTGACCCGTCCTTTTCGGTGCAACCACCATTCTAGAGCACCATGTTGTAGGTGTACCCACTGGTACAGGTTCTATGATGCCCAATGCCACGTCTCGGGTCGAGATCCTCCTTGACTCTTTTCTTCCAATGGTGTGGGACCGGGATTGGGGTGTGGACAGCTGAGGGTTTGGCCCCGGGATGAACGTGATGTCCATGGGTTTTCCTTCCATCGCCTGCAGCCCGTTGATGTGGGCATACATTGAATGCACTGGACTCAAAATGCTCCTTCATCCATCGTCCAATCGGGTCTGTTTTCTTCCATAGGAGCGAAAAGGGATACTGTCCGCTTAGGTGGGACATTAGTTCTTTGTGGGCACCCACATGGTGCCTTTCCGCCGTCGCTAGTTGCCACGTTCTGCTGGGAAGTTGGGTCTGGAAAGTTATCTGGCACCAGACCAAGGTCTTTTAGGGCCGACTCGGACAGGCAGAAATCTGATGTATTTTTTGATACATATATAATCTGACGTGTTTCCCCCGATCCTACTCTGACTTTAGCGAATATCACGCCTTTTATGTTTAGTAGGTTATCCGTGATTCCCCGAATTGGTGACTAGTCGGTACTAGACATTTGTCTGGACACTTCAAAATTTTTTGGATTTCTGGTCCGCTAGAGCATGTCTGTGCCCCAGTGTCTCGCGATCGCCTCGATCCGGTGAGTATGGAGGCCAGCTTGTCCTATGGATATGTGCCCGAATTCCGCATGGGCCTCTGGAATCAGAGTTATCTCTACCATCAGGGTTGGTACTGGATCAGGAGTACCTCTTGGAACTTACTTTTGTTCCAAATCAGGTGCGGCCTTTGCTTTGGTTTTGTCAGGTTGATTTCACCTCTCCTTTTCACTTGTCCATCTTGGACAATCATCCGTTCTGACCCTTCTTGTGTCTTTGGGTGGTGAGAGTTCTGGATTCTGCTCCGACCACACCCGCTGTAGATTTGTTGCTGGACCCCTGCTTCGGGTTTCCTGCAAACCCCTTTTAAATGTCCGGTTAAGCGCAATTGTGACAAGTCATCTTTGCTGCTGGGCAACCCCTTCGTTCATTCGAGCCGTCAGGGTGTGAGCTCTTCCCACACCATTTACAGGGTTCAGTGTCTCTCGGGGTTGATACGGTCTGGTTCTCGATGCCGCTGCCTGCGCCCCATCTCTGTATGCTCGTTGTAGTAGGGTATACATTACTATGGAGATGGGGTGTAGACTTGTCCGTGGTCTCTAGGCTGACAAGCCTGTTGAATTTTTCTTCCAGTGTCGTAAGTGTCGCAGCCTCAGACAACACCTTTGATGCTCCAGGTTTGCCAGCCCAGCCACCATTTGTCCTGCTACCATATCGTTGGAGTAGCTGACTTTCCGACCGCATCCTATCCCGTTCGGACAAGTCACTGAAAAGTCGCAGAATTTTGCGACTGATCAAGTCGTGCCCACGAAGTCCGTAATCGATTCCCCCTCTTTCTGCCTTACGGAGTGGAATTCTTGCCGGTACACTTCTTTGTGTAGGCTTCTGACGGCTCTGAGCTTTATGTGTCGTAACAGCTCTTCCTCCGTGGACGGAGTTTAGTACTTCTGCTCCTACCATATCAACAACAGCCTGTTCACTTCTGGGGCACAGGCCGTTCTCAGCTCGTTTCTTAACGCTGTTGGCTCCGTCAACCCACACATCTCCTTGTATCTATTCCAGGAATCAATGAATATCGCCCAGTCACCATCACTTGAGTCCGGTTCTATATTAGGTCTGTCGGGTCTCCTTGTAAGTGACTTTCTCGGCTGTCCTCCGTCTCTTCGCAGGGCGATGATCTCTTGCTGTAGCTCGATGAGCTGTCGGGTAATGTCTGCTGTGTTTGTTCGGGTCATATTCCAACGTTGTTTGTAGCAGGTTTCCTATATCGGCGACGCCATGTAAGGTAACAGCGAGACGTGTATCTGCCTAGATACTCGTTGCCGTAAATGTCTTGTTTAAGTAGCCCTCTCGCCTCTCGTGTAGCGGGCGAGTCTACTTCTATGGGGGTGTGGCGCCAAGACCATTCCGGTCTTGTAACTGGGCGCCTTAGGTTCGATTCCACCTCTACAAATCTACATTAGTGAGACAAGATGATACTCATTTTAAGCAGATGACCACTTCATTTCTACATCATACTTATTATAAAACCCAGGTTGTGTGTGTGTCTGTACGTTTATATATTGGATTGGATTTCTTACATTTTTCAACCGATTTCAACAAAACTTCACAGGACTACATAAAATTACCTTGCGGTGGTTCTGACAGTGCCAAAAATTGGAAAAACACAATTGTTTTTGCACGAAATCAATTTGAAAACACAATTAAGAGACATGGGGGGGGAATGAAAGGGGGACAACTCATATCGAGTTATACTTATTATAAAACCCAGGTTGTTTGTGTGTGTGTGTTCGTTTATATATGGGATCGGATTTCCTAAATTTTTCAACCAATTTCAACAAAACTTCACTTTTTTTTTGGCAGGTAGTGTTTCTTATTGTCTTGCACACTTTTTTCTTTATTTTTACATTCAGAATGCTTTAAAAATTCCATTTACAAGACAATTGTTTATAATAAAATTCTATTCATCAATCGATAGACTCATAACGATTGAAAACAATGTTTTTGTTTGAGTTTGACCAATTTTTAAAAAAAAAAAAACAAAACAAAAAAAAAACTAATTAAGACATGTCTGTCCGTCAACCTTAAACAATAATCTTTGTCAATTTTATTTTTCAGTCTTTATGTTGGTTGATACTTGATCTAAATCTTAATTGTTACATCCCTGGGCAACTGCTAGTCTATCTATATTTCTGAGATGAAGTATTATAACTATTTACACAATTTACATTGTTCAGACTGTTGTTCTCATCTTTATTGCCACATTCACAATGTTTCAGCCATTGTACACTCTGGTCTTCTTCAGGATTTATCTATATTTCTGAGATGAAGTATTGTAACTATTTACACTATTCATATTATTCAGACTGTTGTCCTCATCTTTATTGTAATAATAAAGATGAGGACAACAGTCTGAACAATGTAAACAGCTTAATTTTTACTTTAATTTCATAATTTCAGAAATTGGATTTTAATGAATCTCAACTCAGCTTTTATAAACCTTAAACTCAGGTTCAAGGTTTATGCATTCCACATTGTTTCAGTCCTAATTTAATAATAACAAGCAATAAACTGAAATGGTCCAGTCGTATGTTAAGTGTGGGGAACTCATAGATCACTTTAAAAACAACTTCCTCCGAGTAAATTAAATTCATTCATTTTTTATTAAAATGGCTTTTCTCAAGTCAAAATTGTAATCACATTGTAGATTCTGTTGAAATAACATCCATTTTTTTCTAATGATGCCAATTCATTGGGGAAAAATAAAATAAAAATATTAATAAAAGCTTTCCAAATTATCTTGTATATTTTATGTGTATATTTATTTGGATTCCCTTTCCTCTTCTGTTGGTGGTGGGGAGTAATAATAATATAGCAATATCATCATCACCCTCCACACCCACACACACAAATACTAACTCATAGATCACTTTAAAAACAACTTCATCTGAGTAAATTAAATGCATTCATTTTTTATTAAAATGGCTTTTCCCAAGTCAAAATTGTAATCACAAAGGTTTAGCCATTGTTGATTCTGTTGAAATAAAATCCATTTTTTCTAATGATGCCAATTCGTTGGGGAAACATCAAAATAAAAGCTTTCCAAATTGCCTTATATATTTTATGTGCATGCCTATTTGGGTCCCCTTTCCTCTTCAGTTGGGGGGGGAATAATAATAATAGCATTAGTAATAGCAGTATCATCATCACCACCACCCCCAAAAAATACTTAAGTTTGAACAAATAAAAAAGTGGATTGACTCTAGAAGATTTAAGTCACCACATATAAAATCCATTTTAATAAGTACTAGCAGCATGGCTCGGCGTTGCCCGTGCTTGATTCAAAAATCATACGACTCATACAACAATCGCTATCACTTGACTTAAAATATTTTTGCCCTTCGTTGCCTTTAAAGGAGTGCCCTTTACCATGCTGATGTTGCTACATGCCTTACTTCTTGCCTATCTCACACTGCGAATTTTTTCTAAGCTCTATACTAAACATTAAATCTAAAGATCAGCTTTACAAAAAGGACTCGTAACTGGAAAAACCGAATGAAAAAAGAATGTTAACAACAAATACTTTTTCACACCCAACCCAGTTCTGCGGAATCAGAATCAACGTTGAGTTTAAGCAAGCGAATGAGCCAATTGGAGTAAAGTGCCATGCAGATTTAAATTTTTCTCACTTGTGATGAATGCAGCTCTCGATTTTTTTTGCATGCTAGTTAACATTCGTGTCAGTCAGCTGTTGGCTCTCACGCTGGCCAATAGAATCTTCCTGCCTATTCGTGGCAGCCAGCTATAGGCTCTCACTCTGGCCAGTAGAAAATGGCCACAAACTACATGAAAACTGCCGTAGGGCAGTAAAAAAAAAATTGATTATTTCTACTATCGATGGGAGTTGGGAAATGCGAAGTTGGTCTTGGCCTTCTCACTAACTTGGAGCATGTGCATGTAAATTTTGGTGCAAATCCGTCGAAAATTGTGGCCGTGCATTCGTTACACACACACATCCTGCCTTTTATAGATAGAGATTCATTTTATGACATTATGAATAAAAGGTTTAATATTTCCAAGACATAAATTACCTTTGCTGTAGATGTTGTGATTTTAAAAGAGGAAAAAGGTAGAAAAATACATTCTTGAGTAAATAGTGTGAAAGCAATGATTCTTGCAAATTATGCTGTTGGTCCCAATAATCATTCAGTTCTTCAAGACTGGAATAATGAAGCCTCAAAGAAGTTTCTTTCAAATGCTGATAAAAAGGGGCTAAAATGCAAAAGATAAAAATAACAGACTTTAAATTAGAAAAAAAAAAATAAAGCAAGGAACAAATAACAACAACAGAAAATTAACTCCAGAATTTTCTAGAAAGAATTTGAATACACTTTTGCCAATTACTTGATATATTTTCTGTTATGTTATTTAATCATAAGCAGAAAATATATTAAATAATTGTTAGAATTAATTCATTTCATAATATATTGGGTTGGTGCATAATTATCAGGTGTTTTTTAAACAATATTTATTATGAAAAAAGAAACATAACAATTCAAGAATAACATTTTTAAATGAGTATGATTATCAACACGCATTTTTATAATCTGGAAATAAAATATTTTTATTAAAAAAAGTAAACAAAACAGCAATTTTTATTAACTATGAAAGTGTAAAAATAGGTTTTAATATATATACCAGAAATACTTTGTAAAAAAAAAAAAAAAAAAAAAAAGAAAAGATTATTACCAGCAATAAATGTTTAGAAAAAAAAAGATATTAACAACTAGTTTATTTTGAAAGAAAATATCACTAGCAATAAAAAATTTGTTGGCATTGAATAACCCATTGAGGTTGATATGCCGTAAACCAAACCAAACCAAACCAGCAATAAAAATCTTGTCGGCATTAAATGACACATTGAGGTTGATATGCCGTAAAACAAACCAAACCAAACCAAACCAGCAATAAAAATCTTGTCGGCATTAAATGACCCATTGAGGTTGATATGCCGTAAAACAAACCAAACCAAACCAGCAATAAAAATCTTGTCGGCATTAAATGACCCATTGAGGTTGATATGCCGTAAACCAAACCAAACCAGCAATAAAAATCTTGTCGGCATTAAATGACCCATTGAGGTTGATATGCCGCAAAACAAACCAAACCAAAGGGCGCAGAATCCCCAATATGCACTACATGCCAAAAGAAATTTACAGTGAAACATATACTGTTAGAGTGTGTAGATTTTGATCTAGTGCAAACAAAATATTACCAAGTGAGTAATTTAAAAAAATTTTTACAAAAATAAAACCATCCAAGATTGTAAATTTCCTAAAGTTGGATTGTACTCAAAAATATGAGTAATTGAAAGATGGTTCAAATATATATGTATACATAAACACCTTTTTTACCAAACTATCGCTATAAATCTATTTCAAAATTTTGTTGGCATTAAATAACCCACTGAGGTTGATATGCCATAAAACAAAACAACCAACCAAAATAACAAAATGACTATGCCCAAAGATACTGGTTTATAAATAGATAAAGAAATAAACATGTAAACCTTATTGGAAATAGATAGGTCCATGATTGAGAATACATGCTGATATATTAATATAGTGGAATTTTCATGCTACATTGAAAGCATTTAATCTGGTTCTTCAATGGTAAGCAGAGGTGCAGCATTCATTCTTGATATATCACAGAATATCCCGCACCCTGATTGGTAAGATACTGGTAAAGACTAGAGATGTTAGTGAAATGCTAAAAAATAGAAAATTTAATACTCTTAATGCATTTTTAATTTTGATACTATCAATCACTAATGTTTTTTGATTGCAGCCTGCACACATTCAACATTTTTAAGGACTCTGCTTGTTAAAATACATGAATCACTTTCAAGAGAAAGCCAAGTTTGAAACGCTGGAATCAAAATTTTATCTGAACTTCACTGATTGCATAAAAACCAAAAAACTTTTAAATTTTGAAAAGTTTCAACAATGACCCAAGTCACAAGCAAAACTTTATATATTGGGTGCCCCTAAAGTCTGGACACACAGGAAATCTCATTAACTATATTTTTTTAATCTCCACAGATTAAACATGGTTTTGTCAAAAGAAATTACTTCTTTTTCTGGGGTATACTAAAAGAGGTGGTGTACTCAATGAAAATCACAGATGCAACACACTTGACTGAACACATAAAGAGTGAATGTCATAAAATTGACAGCAATGTGGAGTTATTGCATCAAGTTCATGTGAATCTTGCAAAGCATATCAACCTTTGCATCATAAATGATGGAAATCATATTGAAAATGTTATTTGTTAATATTCCAATTCAGAAAAAATGTTGCTGAAAATTTCATTTCTTGAAAATATGCGCTTTTGCCTAGGATGTCCAAACTTTACAGACACTGTATAATTCAAGAGATACAAACTACAATCTGGAATTGAGATAAAAGCATTGATGGCACATAACAGAAACCATTGATGACTAAATAGTAGTAAATAATGATATAATCAAGATGCTGATATTCCACACTACTTCAAACAAAAGGTTAGGAAGGAAAACTCCATCAGTACTATGAAGAACAATAACTGTTAGGGGAATTAGGAAACCTATTCTCCAGAAAAATTCTTTTAATAGAAAGATTTTATAAATTTCTACCAAAGGTTTCTTTATAATAAAACAGCTAATATTAACAACAAAATTGGAGATGATGAGAACAGATACTACACTTAGTATTTAGTTTCCGCCCCATGCAATTCAGTAAAATATTGTTGGAAATTTCATTTCTTGAAAATGTGCATTTTTGTCTGTCTGTCTGTTCAGACTTTAGGGACACCCTGTATATCTGGTATGAATGTAATAGTTACACAATACCCAAACTTACTTAATGGATTATCATTATCAAATAAACTAATGAGAGACTGCAAAATTACGCCAAGATGTAACAGAATTAGGTTAAAAAAATGGCTGGATACTTTCCGGACATACCACGTATTTTAGAAAGTCATATTTTTAATGTTAAGGAAATGTGACTATTTTCTGCAATATTTAAAGTATTTTACATTGACAGTCATAAGTAAAATAACAATGTCATTCAGATATGACATTTAAAAGAATTTGTCAATTTTCTATAAATGTGAGTAAGCATCAAAAGCAATACAATATTTCACCTTGAAGATTCTGCATAAATTTTTCTTGCAAATGCTCGTTTTATTTTAAGGTTTATATTAATTTTATATATTGAAAGATAAATTGTAGCAAACAATATTTAATTGTATATCTGAAATTGCTTAAAAGGACAAATGGAATGAAAATGACCAGGTTTTTTATTTAATCACATAAATCAAAAGAAAGGTGATAAAAAAAAAAAAGAAATTAACTTACAGTACAAAAGATGAGGTGGCAACCATATTTCTCTGGGAACAGTTTGTGGAACAGGTTCCATATGAGGATTAACAGTGGCCGTCAACTTGGGTTTGGCTATAATTAAATTTTAAAAAATTTACATCATTTTAAAAGTTTATATTTTGAAATGTAAATATTTTTTTTTTACATTATTAATTTAATTAGGATCCGAAAGAAAAAGAGTAGTAATGCTGGCACCTGCAGATATACCAAAGAAAAGTCATAAAAATGTTAAGTATAAGGTAACCAAAAAAAAGTCTTTGCCATTTTCTATATTGTGTGGATAGAAATGATCATGCAAATGAGTGCGTCACATGCAGGAAAAGGAGTGGGAGACATAGCTCTTGACCAATGCAGGTGCAATGTGCACATACATCAGTCATAGTTCGAGCAGCAGCAAGCAAATATGGCAGTGTTGAAGCAGCTCATTCGAAGTTGTCTGCTTTATGACTTTAAGGTTGGTTTGTCCGCAGCTGCATCAAGCCATCGAATACATCAAGCCTTTGAGGATAATGCTGTGAATGAATGCACCACCAGGAATTGGTTCCAGAAATTCAAGTCAGGAGATCTGTCCCTTTGAGATGAACCCTGCATTGGCCAGCCACAGGTCCTAGATGATGAAGCCCTGAAAGTCGCCATAGAGGAGGACAACAGCCAAATCTGTGGGGAGTTTGCTGAATGCTTTCAATCAGACTGCACTGCATAGGGAAGATGTACAAGTTGAGGAAGTGAATACCTCACATGCTGTTAGAAGCCAACAAGCAACACTGAGTGACAGCCTGTTTTTTATTGCTTTCTCGAAATTGCAACGTACCCATAGTTGATTGAGTGCTCACCATTGATGAAAAGTGGGTCCTATATGACACTCCCAAGCATGCCAGACATTAGTTGTCACAACAGGACCCTGTACCTCACACCACAAGACCACCTCTATATCTACACAAGATCATGCTCTGTATCTAATAGACTAGTCAACAAAAGATGCACTATGAGCTGCTACCAACAAGGCAAACCATCATTGCAGACTTGTACTCTGGGCAGTTGGAATGTGTGCAACAAACACTGAAGCAGAAGCCAGTATTGGTTAATTGCACTGTTAATGTACTGTTCTTCCATGACATTGTCAGGCCATATGTGGCTAGGGATATCATACAATGAATTGGCTGGGAGGCAATGTGTCATCCACTTTACTCCTCGGGTCTTGTGCCAACAGATTACCACCTCTTCTGTTCCCTGGACAACCATCTTTGTGGGAAATCCTTCGAAAATGAGACATACTTATAGTAGGTACTCACAGACTTCCTTGCATCCAAGATACCTGATTTTTACTGCCAGGGCATTGTGCAGCTGGAGGTACACTGATAAAAGGTTCTGGATGCTGATGGGGATTACTTTGAGAACTAACGGTATGTCAAATTTGCTGTATACCTTTTTTTTTCTAATAAATCAAAAACAGCAAGGACTTTTTGGTTACCTTGTAAAATGATGCAAGTTCTTGACTTAATAAGATAAAAATAAAGACATATTCTGAAATTGCTAAGATCAATGATAATATTCTGATACATAACCTTTATTACAATATATGGTTATAATTATTAGTTACTGTTTTTAATCACCTATTGTGACTTATTTATGAATTAAAGTTTATCCCCAGTATATACCAGAAAACAAAAACAAACATTGTATAATGTTCAATATAGATAGATAGATAAATATAGAGGAGTGAAACAGTATGTGAACCTAGAAATCAACACTGCATGGTGACTGTCAGTTTCCTGCCTCAATCTATCTTCAGACCACTATTCCTTCTGTAGGTATTCCTTCCTCCACTTTCTTTATTCTCCAAATGGCCTGTATGTAGAGACCACAAAACATGTAGCAACACACTTGATCCATAGATCACTTGAAACATGTAACCATTATAGTGTTGAGTTATATGTCTACACTGTTCATATCTACAAATGCTCTATCTAATATTAACCACACTTCCCCCATAAATATAACAAAATTTTAAATAATATATTGTCTCTTGTAGGTTAACTTGTGACTTAGCAAAACTTAGTATCGATTATCCCATCTCAAATATTAATACAACTATTACTATAAAACAAATATTAATAGATAATACCAAAATATTATACTGCACTCTTTGCAAGGACAGACTTAAAATACTAGAAGCTATTATTACAAATGAATCAACCCATATCAAATATCTTTCATCATAGATGACATTTTAAAGTGTGTATAAAATATTTAATATGAATATAAAATAATAATAGGTGATACATCCATTTTCCAGTGCAAACAAGTTCTGTGAAACTATTCCTTGTGACACAGAGTGCTATGATAAAAAGAACACAAGATGGAATAAAACCCATAATAAAATAATCATGAAAATGCATCTATTTCTTTGTTTTAAATACTGTTGTTACACAGTACAGAAACCATATTGTTTATTTCTCCTTTTATTTGTTCATTTTTAGGTTAGATACTTTTTAGATTGGTCACCATTTTGACCACTTCTGATTAGACCTTAGCACGAGGCACCCAACATAATAAAGTAATTACACGAAGCACGTCATCGGTAGTTTTATCCTCCAGATTTCCTGCCCCTCAACATTAACCATCATCGGTTTGTACCTTTTGATAACTTTTTCTCTACATTTGTCTATTTTATTTCTGTGTTGTCATTTGAACACTTGTTTAATGTATCCTTATTTCATACATTTACTTTCTACATTTGTATCCATCTGTGTAGAACTCTTTCAACACATGTCCGCTGTTCCCATACATACACTGTTGCAAAATGTAACTTTCTTCTATGTTCCTTTTCTGCAAACTCACTGCAACTTTGGAATGTATTCTCATAGCAAACTTCATACATATTCATGTATATGAAGTACTCACTACTTTCTTTTACCTATTTATTAGACAAATGGTCTCAGTTTTATGTTTAAGCCTCTGGCTGATTTTGTTATTCCTTGTTACCCTTGTTTGTTCATATTTTCAGACTAACTAGTCTTATTTATATGTATTTATCTCTCTTCTAGTTTTACCTTTTCGGTTCTTAATAAAGCTGCCAATGTACGGGACTTCTTCAGAGTTTTAATTGCTTTAAAGTGTTTATCTGGCTGTCTTTGAGGCAATGCATGCTTACAATACAGATTCGTACTCTTGGAGGCAGAACAGATACAATTTCCAAAAGTATATTCTTTGCAAAAATCCTTTCAGATAGAAGTTTCTCTCTAATATATGTTTCTCTCTAATATATGTAGTCTCCTTGAAAATTGAAAAATGTAAACATTTTGAAGGAGACAAAAAAATTTACTGACAGTTTTTAAAAATATTTCTAATTGCAGCATTCATATTGAATTTCTCAACTACCTATTTCTTTCTATCTAACTCTGGATAAAGCCTGGGGTTTTTCTATTCATATGCCAATTTGTAAGCTTTGTCCATCAGTGATCAGCAATTAGACAAGCATTACTTCAGGAATTATTCTGATAATTATCCTTATCTTTTGATTGTTAGATTTCAAGCCAATCTATTCTCCAGTCTTCTACAGGTGACTTTCACACCTGATAATCCTCAGAAATCTATCCATCTTTTTTTCAAAAGTTTGCTTACTTTTTAACATTCAAGTTTTGACACTGTTTAACTTTCATTCCTACAAGAAACGGTGTGTCAAAAGGATGGTTATTCCTTTGACACAACTATTAGTGTGTACACTTTTGTCTCCCTTGGAAATGTTTATTTAAAAGATAAAAATATGTGAACCAAGTACAATACAATATTTATTATTTACTTTTTTTATAAAGATTTATTATTTACCAATTCGAAAAATCATTTTATTCAAAAAATTATAAAAAATAAAAAAATATGTAAACCAACTACAATGCAACTTTTTACTCTTTCAGTCAGTCAGTTATGTGCCATGCGTGATACACACTTAGGCAATCATGTATCTTTTGATACATGACTGACAAGGCAGATTTTTCCCAGAGGAGGTTGCCATTTTTTTTCTGTAGTAGACCAGTTGTCATCCAAGGCTATAGAACTCGGTCTGTCCTGCTATTTACCCATAGCTTGGGGGGGGAGAAGAAGAAGAGGATTTATACCTTTCCCAAGGGCATTAGCACATAAGTGAATGTAATGGATTTGATTGGAATTTGATATTGGCTCTTCAACTCCTCAAACCGAGCTCCTATCCCTTACTCCACCGTGCCACCTTATTATTTTACCATTTTATAAATAACTATGAAAACATTCATTATATTTAGTTAACATATTTTTATAATCTTGTAAATAAGCAATCTAATAAATAAATAGTGTTCAATATCTTTGTTATCAATTCTCAAAAATAAACAAAAATGTTTAAATCTACTTTTATATGATTGGGTTTTATTAAAATTCTAAACTTCTAAATTCTAAATTTTTAAAACAAACATTGCTGAGGGAGTCAAAAGTGTGTACAGTAATAACAATATCAAGGGAATAATCATTTGTTTGACACGCTGTTTTGTGTGGGCATGAAGATTAAACATAGCCCAAGTTTTCTTATAAGATCTTTAATAACTGAAAGAACCTGTACAAATTCAATATAGAAGCTAAAAAGACGAAAGAGCTCCTGTTCATGGTTTTTTCAGAATTACTGGATGCAATATACAAGAACAGATCTCAAATTTAGCCAAGTTGAAATAATTTCAAGAATAATAATAGTATTTCCTATTCCAAAAGAGGCACAGATATTCTGTCCTTCTAAATTGAGACATCATATAAAATATTTTCTGTCATCCTAAAATGAGGCACCATATAAAAATATTTTAATATTAAGCACATGCAAAGTAGGAAGGAACAGGTCAAAGAAGGAAAATAACTGTGCCGAACATGTTTATAGATAATCAATGAGATTTTCATGCTTATTTCAATGATTCTTATAAACATTTTAATATTAATCCACACAGTCATTAACTGAATATTGACGACTCACACACAGATTTTGGTGTTATGATCTTTCTTTTTCAGATAGGATTACCTTTTTTTAAGAGTGACTCCGTTTGTTCATTTAAATCATAAACTGAATTTAGAATGTATTCCAAAGAAATTTTTGCTTCAAGAATTTCTTGAGGAGAGGAGGAATCTGAAAAAATAAAATGGACAAAAAGCTTAAAAAGTCTATAAGGAATGAAAAAAGTTCAGAGAACAAAAAAAAAAGTTCACAGAATAAATAATAGTTCATCACTGAAAATATTTACATTAGAAGTCAACATTATGAGAATGTATTTTGTTTTTTATTTTTTATAAAAATAAAACCATGCAGTTAATGATGGTGTTATAGGAATTAAATCCTATATATATTTTTCAACCAATAAAATCCCATCAGAAGTTCTGTTTGATAAACAATCATTACAAGGGCAAATACTACCAAAATACTTGCAGACATAGTTGTAGACCTACCACATGTTATTTTTGAACCACTTATAAAATAACAATAACTCCTTTCACCACTTCCGCAAATTCAAGAAAAAGGCTTTCATGAGCAAGTGTGAAATTATTTTCTAACCAATGAGAACCTTGTATCAAAAGGTTCACACCTCTATGTGAAGTTAGATTTTGAATTACCTTATGGATATAAAAATAGAAATGTACCGCTTCTCAAGGTTCAAAACAATTACGGATGCTAGTTTGATCTACATGTGCATACATGTACACAATGGAAGAGTCAACAGCCAGCAACTAAGGCCTTGTTCATACATACAATAGAAGGAATTAACTAGCAACCACAACTAAGCCTTTTGTCTATGAACTCACAAACACATTAGGCTGACCGTCATAAAGTAAGTCTGTCCATACATTTCACATTACATTACGAACACTTAATTACTTTATAAAACAAACTTCACTGCAAGAAAAATTGAACACTATATTGTTATCATATATTTCTGAAAAGAATATATAAATGTTATTTCAACTGATGTTCTGCTTCTACTTTTCTTTCAGAAAATAATTTTTATATGTTTTGTTTAAAAGATGTGTTGTTGCTGTTGTTAAATGTTTGGAATCCCAACACTCAGACAGCAACAAAAACCTGGGTAGATGGATCCCAACAGTGGTGATCAACGACATTTAAAGAATATTTACCAGTTCTCTTTAGTAGTCTTCATAGAAAACAGACTGAGAAAAAATAAAATTGCAACACCTTGAAAGACAATGTCGATTTGGACAATGTACATGTTAGTAGTTGCTGATATTCTGATAAATCTTCAGTCTTCAGCTGTCTTGTGATTTAGTAGCTAGTGCATCATGTGCCTAAGCTTTAGATAGTGACATACACTTGATTAAATGGACATTTTGAAGAATTGCTGTGCATAATAATTGTGATATAATTCACAATCACAATTCCCATAACCCTAGGGTTGTATGGAGAGGCACTATACATACTGCAGCTGTAGTAGAATTGGTGTGTCTTGGACAAGATAGCCTGATGGAGTCCAACCTTCTCCAGGCTGATTTGAATTTAGAGTTTTCCTTCACCTAGACTGGCTACCAAGCAAGGCTATAAGACCCAATCTGTCCTACTATTTACCCATAGTTGGTGGGGAGAAGAGTTGGATTCATACTTTTCTCAAGGGTATTAGTATGTAAGTGAATGTAATGAACTCAACTAGAATTCAAACTCAGCTCTCCCATTCCTCAATCCAAGCTACTATCCATTACTCCACCGTGCCCCCACAACACAACTGTGGTCAAATGAACATTGCTATACCTGTAGACCAGGTTCTGAACAGCTACATAGTAGAAAATACTCACCAAAGTGAAAAGAGCAACAGTGGCAGACCATTTGGCAAGCATGGCACAGATCAGAGCAAATATAACTTCAGAAGTGTGACCACAGACTTCTGAGAATTGTTTACTTACAGCAGGATTATGTTTTATTCATGCCTCTAGCCAGATTTTCACTTATGCCACAAAACCATTATGCACATCTCCAAAGCTGTTGTGAGAGGATCATCCAATGAATCGAAGGGCAATCTGTAGTGTTCAGTGATAAGTGCAAATTCTGCCTTCATTCAAGTATTGGTCATTTGTGTGAGCAACCTGAGAACCACATCTTTCAGAGTGAAATCGCCCACAACACAAAAACCCAACCCCTGGCATTATGAGGTGGGTGCTATGTTACAATTCTCATTTGCTTTTGGTGTTTGTGGAGAGAACAATAAACTGTACCATGTGCATCCAGGAAATTGTTCAACCCCATTCTGCTGCTGTTCCTGTAATAGTGATGTGTTGTTAATTATTGTTGTCTACATGATGCCCATGTTTATTCAGGATACTCTGTAAAACTTTTGACAACTTCCCTTGCTGACCCCATACCTATCACCATACCATATCCCCATTGGACATCTATGGAACATGATAGGACAACATTGGACTTGTTCAGTTGGTGATCATTTACTGTAATCCAGCTATATCACCTGCATGTTTAAGTAACTGCAAACACTTTTTAAGAGTGTTGCAATTGTATTTTCCATCAGTGTATGCATGCCATTTCAGTTTTCCTTTTTGTGTATATGTGTGGTCACATGTGTGTGGCAGAGGATATTTATAATTTTTACATAACTAAAAAGTAAAGTGTTTAATTTTTGTTTTGTGACATATGGTGGCCATTAAGTATAACTCAAGACTTCCACATTAAGATAAATCAGCATTTAATTACAACCGCAAATAAATACTTAACAAGAACAAAGAAGTAAAATCAACTAAAGATAATTAACCATTTCAGTGAATACCTTGTTAGTAGCACGGTTCGGCTTAATGTCCAGTAACTCCTAAATCAAAACCCAAATAATCGATGTATAATAATTTACACTAATTCAACTAGATAGTTCTACTCAATAGTCACTCAATAATCACTAAAGTCAGTAGCCTGACACTGCTATTTATACACCGGGTGGAAAATATTTATAAGTCCAGAGTGTCATGCTCAAACTAGGGTGTCGGTAGTTACACATTTTAGGTAAATCCTAAATTAAAACCCAAATAATCAACACACAATAATTCACACTAATTCGACTGGATAGTTCCACTCAATAATCACTTCAATCAGTAGCCTGAGATCACTATTTATATACCTGGCAGAAAACATATATTCATAGATCCAGAGTGTCACGCTCGAACCTCAGTGTCAGTAGTTACTCATTTACTTCCTATATGACATTATGTAAACACAATATTCCTAATTCCTCTCTTTTGGAACTCCAAAGGATCAAACCCACTAGCCATGGTCTGTTAGACTAACATGCTAACCAGAGCTCCATGGCAGGTGCCCTAGTCTGGCACAAGGCCACAATAGTGTGGTAGTCAGTGACAACTGAAGTCACCATTCTTAGTGAATTGATAATGATTTGAGCTTTCAGGTGACCTTCAAAGAATATTTGGACATATTTCACACAAAAATGTAAATTTGACAACTTGTTAATACAACATATATTAGCATGATTTGTAGAATTTCCATGTTGCCTCTTTGTAAGGAAAGCAGGTAATATATCTTAATAATACTAAAAAAAGAAATCACAGTTCCAAATAACAGCTGAACTAGGAATGTACAGTTCACATGAAAAATTTATTCATAATTATTATTGTTTAGGTAATAAGCATTATAACATAGCACAAATAGTTATATTGTGGAAAAAGGAAATTTCAACAATATACTCATGTTTTACATATTTATGGTTATTTTTTAACTTTTATCAAAAGCAACATTCTTGTACATGTAGTTATGGATAATATTATACACTAATTACTAATTTTTTAAATTTTGGTGAGGGCGGTGGATTGGCCATTGACCCCCACCACCACCACCACCACCACCAGGTCGATGCTTGGACTTAAGGTAAGCTGTACATTCACTTGTTATCATGAGGAAGAAAGCGGACAAACACTCGTTGCCACGTATGTTGGGGCATTTATTATGACATGGCAATAAATCCGGATAACCTTATTTTCTTCAATTTCTTTTTAGAATAGACAATGGAACTTATACTAAGTTAAAACTTAACTTAATGTTGTGAAGGGGTAAATGCAAGTATCAGCCAGGACTCTTTGCAAATTACCACCCTCTCTCATCGTTACCTCTGTTTTTGTTGTTGTTGTATGTGTTACATGTAATAGGAGTAGGTAGGCTTTCCTACCGCCCGGTCAGCACTCCTCCCCCTTCTCTTGGACATGAGTAGAGGCTTACGCCTTGTTTCTTGTTTAGGAAGGGGTTTCCGGTACTCTCTCTCTCTCTCTCACTGGCCTCTGTATCTCCAGTTGCCTTGATCTATCCACTACTCTTCTCCTCATCCTTTCTTCTATCACTCCTATCTGATCTTGCTCCAAATTTTCTGTAACCCCTTGCGTCCTAGTGGCTTTTCGCCTTGCTTGGGGTGAAACGCTTAAAAAAAAAAAAAAAAAAATTTGTGCTCAGTTGTTGAAATAGCTATATGTTGATATGTTAAAATTTTGGAATAATGCAATAATAAAAATTTTAATTTCATCTCTCTGATAGCTGCCGCGATCTGTAAATTTGAAAAAAGTCACTCATAATTTTTTTACAAATTTAAAGTGTTGAATTAACAAAAAGATCTTTATTGCACCTAAAGGAATCTCTTAATATTTAATTATTGAATGTGGTCCCTATAAAATATTTATTTAATCCTTCAACAGAATCATAAAGAGTATTTTCTCTAAATGAGAATCATCTGGTCAAAATATATCTATCTATTAATGTGAAGCAATTGGCCATTGTTATGTGTAATTGGTAAAATGCTCAAGAAACAGAATTGAAAATGTTTCTCAATAAATAATAAGGAAGAAAAAGAACAAGGCCCAATAATAATAAGCATATAATATATATGCAAGGCTAAACAAGAGTAATAAAACAAAAGTTCACAAAGTAAGAATTATGTTCATATGCAAAAGGGATACAGTCACGTGATTATAGTGTTCTGACTTCAAAGACAAAAAGAACAAAAATATGGCAGATGAGACCAAGAAGTGGTCCATTTTTATTGGTTAGAAAGAAATCCCAACATGCTGATGTATGATTTGTCTATAAATTTGGGGAGGGGATTTTTTTATCAGTCATTCCAATGCAAT